TGTGCAACTCCCTCTCCCATTGTAGAACACATAACGAGAATGCTCGTCGGCACTAATGTGCTGCCGCTTGCTGCCTATGGGGATATCGAGAGGGCCCGATCTCAGATTTTACACTATTGATTTATTAGGCCATGTCGGTCGCCCTCCCCTCATATATCGAAGAACTTAGTCCTGGGGTATTAAGCATCATATTTGTTATTTTGGGCTTGGAGGTTAAAACTGAATAGTGGATTCGGAGTTAATAGAAGGTAGACTCTCAACAATTGCACCAAATTTTAAAAGCTTTCGGACAGGTTTGGCATACTCCTGTCCTATGCAAATTTCCTTCCAGAGAGCCTTTGCAGATAGATGATTGGCTTGTTTCTGGTTTGTTGTTGTTTCTATATTATTGACATTAGTGGCAAAACAAAACCGATTCACAACTTTACAGATGGCGGCGTTTCACATGCTGGCATTCAGGTTCTGTATTTTCATGCTAATTTTACTGCTAAGAATAAATTGACTCTCAAAGGTCTTTTTAATGTCAGGTTTGCTCTTAGTTGGTAGATAACGTCAATAATCATCTTCATCATTGCCATATAAGACCCAGTTTTTCAAACGCAGGTTGACTGTAACTTTACTGCTAACTGGTAGCTGACTCCTAAAAAGCGTTTTTCAATGTCAGGTTCAGCTTAGAAGTAGTTAACTTTAGCCACATGTTAGGGCGAACTAGAAATTTGTAGTTAAACTGCAATTCCTAACATACTTCTAGACATTCAGAAGTCGATAGTTCAGATGCAAAACCAACGTCGCCGCTCTAGCATTTATGGGTTAGTTAACCTAAGCTTGAAATATGAAATTCACTAATAACTCATACTTAACCTATAAGGTCCGGTTTTTTAATCACAAGTCTAACTTCTAACTATAACTTGGAACTTAAGTGTCTGTTGTATAAAAGTTCGTTTTCAAGTTCTGGTTATGTACTCTGTACTTGTTGATGCGGCAATGCTGCTTCTGTATTTAGACTAACGTGTTCTATGTGTTCTGCGCCGCTGGGTGTTTGTGCCTCGTGTCTTCACTGACAACTCACTAAGTGTTAAATCAAAAAGGTTAAGCATTGCGATTTAACCATAACTTAGCAGTCAAGCCATGCATGGTCTTCTGGTTAAAGTTGACTACCATTTTAGGACAAAATTGGAAAACATGTTTTGAGCGTTAAGTTTCGCATAGTAGTAAAATTACAGTTAGTACCCTGCGACTGAAAAATCGGGCCTTTGTTCCAGGTACCCAACCTGAAAGCTTTGCGATTGAAGAACTGTATTTAAGGGTTAACCAGGAAGTTTTTTCTATTTTGCTTGATAGTGACGAAAATAAACATGCAGATATAGCTGCGTTGCCATATTAACATTTACAGGTTTTTAATCAGAACTTGAAAAATGAAGTTACGGGACATCTGATAGTTCACTTGCAAGGTATAGTTATTCAACTAAAGGCTTTACCAGCGATTGAAAAACCAAGCCTCAGATTTCTAGACCGATCTCAGTTGTTCTGAAACGAGACTGACAGCGGCTTCCTATTTAGCAATCTTCATCATTGACTGGAAACTCAGTGATTTGGTGCTTATTTTAATTGAAAAACCTGACATTTCAATGTAAAAACAAACTTCTTGAAACTTTCCGTCATCAGAGTACAATTTAAGTGAGACTAATTTGTCTGGGCTATCGTCTTACAGGGGTTAATCGTCCAGGCAAAGTTTTATGATGATATTTAGAATAGATTTGGTAGTTTACATGTACCCCCTAAAATGCTGCCTGACAGCTCATGGTAGGGTGAGAAAATTGAAAATGTAACACATGTTCGTTACTTTTATTTTACTATACGCGTAAAGGGAAAATGGAGAGTTCCGTAGCAGTTTCTAAAATGGGATATTACGTTTTTTTGGGTTATATGACATGTACAATACGAAAAACCATGTCACTCATTTCCGTCGGTCTGTCTGTTGATCTGTATGCCTGTCGGTCTGTCTAACCACTGATACTTAGCCCATCTATAACTTGGAAGGTACTGTTCGCATTCGGATTAAAGCTATACTTAAGGTTGCTACAATGCATGCATAGGTTTTGGAAATCGGTCCAGTGACGGTGGGGAAAAATGCTAAAAACGAAAATAGAAAATGGAAATAGTTATTTGACGATTTTTTGGCTCCTCATAATTTTTGAAAAGTTTTTTGATATGAAAATATTGATGGTTAGTTGGAGGAGGGCGTATCGCAACTGTTTGGCAGCTTATATTACGCATATTTCACACAAATACTACCCCGTAACCCTTAAGTAAGAATGAAAGAAATATTTTCTATACAAGATACACTAGCATCGGCGTGCTCTTTGGCTAACGCTCTTGGGACGAAAAAATTTCAGCTGGGAAGGAGTCGACGATGTCTAGGTGAATCGCGGAATAGGGCAATATGACTGATTAAACATAAGCAATCAGATAGGGTGGTAACATTAGGGTTGTAGTTGTACACGTGTGAAATAACGAATTGTCGTTCATCAGTCTTTTGCGGATTGAAGAATCTTACTTTCTCCTCAAGCAAATAATGTCAGTGCGTACGAAAGTTGTCCTCGATTATTTAAAAAAAATTAATAAGCACAATACCTTCTCTGCAATCATATTCATTACTTGCTTGCTTGCTGCATGACCAGCTGTAGGGGTTTTCATATCCAACCAATTGTAAATCTACTTGAACGTATGAAAATTGATTCAGATACTCTAAATCAGAAGTTCCCAACCAGAGGGGTACCCCTCCCAAGGGGGGCATAGAGAGATGTCAAGAGGGGAGGAAAGCGTATGCATTTTAGAAAGAAAAAACAAAAAAAATAAACAAACAACATTAACAAATAACATTACAATGTAATGTTTAATTTACACGCATAAAATTAAAAAACAAATATCATATTCACTTATTCTGTCAACCGCTGTTTCAAAACCCGGCGTCGTCAATCGCAGTTTATACACAACATGAAATTCCAAGTGTATTTAAAATTACTATTATAACGTCAACCGGACTACAAAAATATATACTAAGTGAAATATAAATCCGAACACCCAGTTTAAATGGTTTTATTTTAATAAAATTTTGTATAAGTACTTAATGAAGCATAATAAGTAAATGATAAAAATTTCAATGATTGCACTGCTTTATAGCCCTTTGACTTTTAATAATGGGTGGATGCACCCTGATGCGCTACGCATTCTCCAACGCGCCTAGGCATGCTTCTGATCAGGTGGTCAATGTCCTCCTGTGGTATCTCATTCCAGGCAACCACCAACTCCTCTCGAAGTGCTTCTAGAGTCGGAGGAGGACGTTGCAAATTGAGCAATCTCCTACCCATCATATCCCACACGTGCTCAATTGGGGATAAGTCGGAAGATCTTGGTGGCCATGGTAACAATGTGACATAATTATGTTGAAAGAAGTCTATTGTGACTCTTGCAACATGTGGTCGGGCATTATCTTGTTGGAAAGTTGGATCTGCCAGGGTGTCAAGATAGGGTAAAAGATGGGGTTCTAGAACTTCGTGGATATAACGCTGCGCGTTCATGTTACCTCTGATGAAGTTTAAAGGTGACCTGGAACCATAAGGTATAGCACCCCAAACCATAACTCCAACAGTGTGATGAACATGTCTTTCAACAAAAAACTGTGGATTCCTCCTTTCACCACGTCGCCTTCTAACCCTGGCCCGACCATCGTGCTTGCCTAAACAAAATCGAGACTCGTCACTAAAGACAATACTGTTCCATTCCTGATCCCAGAGTGACCGTTGTCTGCACCACTCAATGCGATTACGTCGGTGTTCTCGAGTTAAAGGGAGGACCCAGTGTGGCCGGTATGAAAACAAGCCAAAACTTCTCATTCGTCGGTAAACACTTCGCATGCCAATAGGTCTTCCGTGTTCTGCAAACCATTCATTTGCAATGGACCTGGTAGTGGAGAAACGGTCCCTTAAGGCCAATAATCTTAGGCGGCGATCTTCACGGTCTGTTGTTCTACGGCGGCGTCCAGTGCCCCTTGCTCTTTGTGTACGGCCTTCTCGAAGCCATGCCTGACAACACCTAACCACAGTGTCTACAATTCTTTGCACTCTAACTGCAATTGCCCGAAAAGAAAGTCCAGCTTCCCGAAGTCCCACTATACGGCCCCTATCAAACTCACTAAGTTGACGAAATCGTACAGGTCTCCGTACTCTAGGCATCGTAACCGATCGTAAAGGATGTCAAGAACCAAAATCCGCCAACGTTGATTCTTTACTGCGGCTGAAATATTCATTTTTAGAGCGTTAGTGAATTAAAAAAAAGCAGTATAAAAATCGGGATGTCCAACTGATAAGGCTGAACATTTTTTTACTTGTTATTTACAGTAAGATAAATACATTCACCAACTTTTATTAAAATAAAACCATTTAAACTGGGTGTTCGGATTTATATGTCACTTAGTATAAATCTTCCAGTGGCCAATATAGTGTTGAATCCATTACGTTATTAAGATAAAATAATGGGCATGTAATTAGTAATTACATGTAGGTATTTTGCTTATTTATGTATTACCTATTTGTTTTATTGTTATAGGTGCAAAATGCCAGCAAAAAAAGAAAGTTTTCCGAAGATTATGTTAAGTTTGGATTTACCTTCATAGAAAAAAAAAGAGTTACAATTGCCTTAGTGTGTGATATGTATGAAAGTTTTGAGTAATGATAGCATGAGGCCCAATCGCCTTGAAAGGCATTTGAAGCAACAACATCCTACTCTGGTTTTCAAGACGAAAGAGTTTTTTCTTCTAAAGCAGAATCACTCAAGCGGATGAGGCTGGATAATTCGGGAAGTTATCACACAGGGTATCGCAACATCTCAAAGATTCATTAAAGTAGCTTTTATGAGAGTAACGCAAAAGAAACCTCATACTATAACCATGTGTCCTAAAAGCCACGCAGATAATTTTAGGAGAAGATACAGAACAAAAAATGAAGTCTATTTCTCTTTCGAATAACACATTTAAGCGTAGAATCAATGACATTGCAGCAGACATAAAGTCACAAATAATTAACAGAGTGAAATTATCCCGATTTTTTGCTATTAGTTGCAATGAATTCACCGACATCGTTAATTCTGCACAGTTAATAGTTTATGTTCGTTGCATCGGCGGGGATATCATTCAAGAAGAGATTTTGTACTCCCAATCTCTGATAGCAGGTACTACATGTGAAGATATATTTAATTCAATATCAAATTCTGTTGAGAAAAATGATTTGGATTGGAAGAAACTCACTGGACTTTGCACCGATGGCGCACCTGCATTGATAGGTGTACGATCGGGCTTAGCTAAAAAGCTCAAGGAAAAAAATCCCGCAATGATTAGTACACATTGTGTTATTCATCGGCAAGCTTTAGCTTCCAAGACATTGCAATAAAAATTACGTCAGACTTCGGACTCGGCTAAAAGGATTGTAAACTACATCAAGAGCAGCGCTTTGAACAGTCGGTTATTTTCTTCACTTTACGAGGATCTCGATTCTGATCACAAAGTTCTTCTGTTCCATACTGAAATATGCTAGCTGCCCAAAGGCAACATGTTGGCTCTCCCTTATGAATTGAAAGGAGCGGTAATTCTTTTTCTTGAGTTCAAAGAAAAACACGACTTCTTGACAATGTTCAAAGATGTCACATTTCAATGGAGGTTGGCTTATTTGACACATATTTGACTCCTTGAATGAGCTAAACTTGAAACTTCAGGGCAGAAACAACACTATTATAAGCAACTATGATTATATTCAGGGGTTCATTTCAAAGCTTCAACTTTGGAATTAAAAAGTGTCTCTGAAAATGTAATATCTTTTTCTCGTCTGTTCGAAGCAATTAAAAGTAACCTACTGGATCCAAAATTAAAAGCTAACATAAGAACACATTTGCAAGTGCTGGAAGACGAATTTCGCCGATACTATCGAGACATCAATTCATAGTCACCAATATGGCACATGACAAGAGATCCATTTGTTGTCGATGTGTCACAATTACCAGAAGAAGTTGAGGAAGAATTTCTAGAAATGAAGGCTGATTCGTCCATGAAAGTTGACTTCCACCTTTTAACATTGAAGAAATTTTGGATCAAGAGATTGCCTGTTAATTCGACACTTGCCTCTCTTGCTTTACGAATACTAGTTCTTTTTTCTTCAACTTACTTATGCGAGGCAGTCTTTTCTGCTCTAGTTCTAATTAAAACTAAACAGCGAAATCGTCTTGATGTCGATAGCGACCTGATGATAGCTCTGGCAAAAACAGAACCTAGAATCAACCAACTGGTACACAACATCCAATCTCCAGTGTCCCATTAGTACCTACTCTTATTTTATTCAAGTTTTTCGATAAAAAACATTTATTAGTTTATTTGAACTTTTAAAATGTCTTTATTAGAAATAAAATAAAAGTCTTTGTTCCTATATAATCTGCGTTTCTTTTGTATTTATTGAAAAAGTAAAGCGGGGCATGAAAATGTCATTTATAGTCCGGGGAGCCTCAACAAAAAAAACGCTTGGGCAACCCTGCTCTAAATCATGGGTATTTAAAGCACACATTTTCAGTATTTGCCAAATCAACAATGATTTTTTCCAGATATTCATTCTACGCCACGGCGTTATGCCATGATACAAGGAGTTTCATAGCCGGCAAACACTATAAATATTAGAGTGTACAAAAAGTTGATTTAGATACTATATATACGAGTATGATGTATATTGCATATGTACAAAGTATCACATTTTGTTTCAATCAATTTTAATATTTTACCGAATGATGACTTTCAGATGTACTTACTTCATGATAAGTATCTTAAAGATCTGCTTCAGATTTTGATATATACAGGTGTTTCAAATTCGATCCTCACCATTGGGATCTCGGAAACTAAGAAATACGAAGTCGCTTAAATGGGGGCAAAGTTGCATATTTAGGTAATCAAAAACGCCGCTTAGAAAGTTTCGAAATTCAAAGTACCTACTTCCGGAGAGAGACGGAATATCCGAATTTCCCCTAAATCGTTTTTCCTTTTTTTCCTGACTTTATTGGTAGGGGGATTTCAAAATAAGCTGCACATTAACATTACCTCTTTGTTTCCTCTGATTGCATGTCATACATTGATATCTAAGTTATTCCAGAAAAACAGAATTTCCTAAGTAGACCTTGAAATTATCATATCTCATTTGTTTCGTATTCCAGACCAGACCTCAAATTAAACATATCAAGAGAGAAGACTGAGAAGGAGACAAAAACTCAAGAAGTGAACAATATACAGAGAAGTGTCAGGCTTTGCATACAAAATAACGGACATTTTGAACATCAGCTATGATGTACTGCTCTGCTTAATAATGATCATTGTTGTTATTATCATCAATAACATTTTCATTTTATGTTCAGGTTTTACTTCTTATTTCCTCATAATTTTCGCCCAACAACAAATTCTTGGCCAAATACATCACTGAATTTAGGACCGAAAAGTCCATTTAAATGTAGAAAATTTCAAGTCGAAAGAAGAAACGTCGAATTGAAATTTTGACTATGTCATCTTGTATACGAAGTCAGGAAAAACTAAACGCGATTTTTGGATAAATCTGGTATGCGAAACAAATGAGTATCTGATAATTTCAAGGCTTACCTGGAAATAGTGCTTTTCTTGAAATAACTAAGGCTTGGCAACCTCAATCTATGACGTATTATACAATTTTGGAAAGAGATTTAGAAACTCTATTCATCTGTGCAAAAATACAATATAGCATCTATTAGAAAAAATCTTGTAGAGGAGAAAAAGTGGCAATGTTAATAAGGAATTTATTTTGAAATCTCACTACAAATAATGTTTAGAAAAAATTAAAACGATTTTGGGACATGTCAGTTTTTTCCGTCGCTCTTCGGGAGTACTTTGAATTTCGAAACTTTCTATTCGTCAAGTTGTTAATTAACTAAATACGCAACTTTGCTCCCATTTGAGGGACTTCGTATCTCTTACAGTTTCCGAGATCCCAATGGTGGGGGTCAAATTTGAAACACCCTGTATATTTCTTACTCCTATGCAGTAAAAAATACAGTTTGTTATCTATGACTGGTCTATAAAGTATACCTTAGGAATAGGTTTTTTGCCCGTTAAGCCCATGGACTCTTTTATAACTTAGGCGGTGAAGTTACGTTTTCTAGACTACTACATAACGAAATATGCGAATAGTCAGGCATACAGATTGTATATGCGTAGCTATCCAAATCCAAGTTGTATGACCACTATAACAGAATCACTCCTCTCTAAATGCATGACCCTCAGCTTCGCTCAAGTACCTGCTCGCTTCCACTCGTCGAGTGAGAATAACCAAAACACGGTCCTCCACGTCCAACGTATCACCTTGATTTAACGCCTGTGGAAGAGGGAGACATTGAGTGGTATCCGACGGCCAAGTTTTGATACGTGTGCAGTCAGCCGTGTCTCACAATGGGGCTGGATCGCGTCAACATAGGGTTGCAACTTGGGACCGGCTGTCATGTTTGCCGTGTTATTATGAGAGCCAGTTGGCATTTTGAGCAGCCTGATTAATGGATATACGACATTTTTATACCAAAGAATTTAAATTATCAACTTTAATATTAGTCCTATAAATAAATAAATATTCAATTTATAAATCTATCGTTTGAGAGCAATTTGGTGAGCTTATTTCAAAATTCGCATTAGTTTTTTTTAGCAGCTCTATAATCCGTCTATCGAAGAAAGGAACAAAATCCAAATATATTCACGCATACTTCACCTGATCGGCAATATTATTACGTAAAAAACCTATATAATGTCAGAAAAACGACAAAATGTCAAATTGCTGACTAGATAGCTTCTAGTGTACAAAAAGTATGGAGGAATGACTGCCAGCATGCTTTGTTGGTTGCATAATGCCGAGATTGTGCAGTATGTATCTCTGAGATGTGAAAGAAAGAAAACTGATTGAGTAGCAAAATCGCATCTGGATGATTGTGTGTTGATTGTGTGTATTGGTCTGCATGTGTATAAAATCAGTGATATTTGCAATGAGAGAAAATGTATATTGTATATACTGCATGAATTATATCTATTAGGTGTGCCAGTCGGGTCAGTTATGTGTTGCGCTTTCTGAAGAGAGGTTATGTTCAAATCTATCTAAGGCTTTGTTCTAAAAAATAAGTATATTCACTTACCTTCAAAGCCACGTCACAGAAAAATTTGGAATGATGCATTACACACACGTGATTTGTATCTTCTGCATAGAATCACAAATTAATGTAAAATGTTCAAATTTCATAAATGTTTCAGTCTGTAGCCTATTAGTTGTAATATACTTCACCAACAGGTGACTATCCTTTTTATCTATCTATCGCATCTTTGAAAGTGAGCAAAGCACGTGTAATTTCCAGAATTAGTATGTACCACTAATTGCTAGTTTTGCATACCTACATCTCAAGTAAGTGTATTTCAGACAAGAAACAAAGAGATTTATCATCAACACAGATTATTAGCACACAAATCCTGACTAAGCACCTATGCACTGCCGTTTCCTTTCAGCTATAATTACACGATCAAACGAACTTACCTGTAAGTGATGTTCAATGCTAATTATGTGAAGGTCTCGTCGAAGTAAATACTACTCATCTCACCAAACCTACGAGTTCAAAGCGCGCACGTAGCGAAGGAAAGCAGCTCGCCGCGCCCCACTACCTTCCTCCTCTCTGGCCACCTATAACCTTTCATTTTCCTAGAAGCCAAATTGTTGCAACAATTGGGTGATACATAGGGAGCGAGGGAGCTACTTACTTCGACGAGACCTTTACATAATAAGGATCGAACATCACTTACAGGTAACCTTGTTTTTATCATATAATTATCTTCCGGTCTCGTCGAAGTAAATACTACTTGTAGATGTTCAAAGCGAGTTGCAACAACATACTACTAACGCTCTGCAATACTAAACGACAAAACTACACAAAATGTACGTACTCCATATGTCAACTAAATATACATTTCCATTGTAATAACTCCAGTTAGGGTATTTAACAACAGGTAATACGATGTAGATAGGTTCAAAAATTACCATCCGTTTCATGGTAACAAGCAAATAACGTAATAACATAGTTATGTTTATGGTCTGGAGACGTGGTTCACCTCAAATGTCGCTTTAGCAAAGCTATTGTTTGGTATAAGAGATTTATGAGGTGTCTCATAAGCTGTCATGTGCATTCTGACAATCATGTTCCAAGGATAGCACAAACCAGGTGGAATTTGCTATCACAGGCAACATGTAATGCTTACCTCGCATAAGGTACCTATCTTCTATCTGGTAATAAGAAAAAGATAAACATTGGCAGGTTTCCTAGCCTAACGTGTTCATAATTACACACCTGTTCCGTGGTTATCACAAACCATGTGGAATTTGCTATCACAAGCAAAATGTAACGCTAGTCTCGCATAGATGTAACTAATGTCTGTCGTTTATTAATGAAAAATGGTACTTCGGCGGCTTCCTAGCTTCTCATGTGCATCCTCACATTGTTTCACGGTTAT